TACTTGAGGGATGATCCAGCGAAAAGTTCGTGTTGTACAAGTCGTGAGACCAATGTATTCCGGCAGTTGGGAATGTACATGTTTACATGGATGACCTATATATTAGGCTACTCTCAAAGTTCCCATTTCCCTTGCCGGAATGGTAGATTCTGACCAGATAGCAGTTGCTCAGTACACAACGGCAACTAATGGAAAGTGCAACTCAAACAAACAGCACGAGTGGGCAGAGCTAGTGTCTGCTTATCACCAGGCACGGGCAGAGAAAACTGCCCGGGATGCACACTTGGACTTGGCGAGATGCGTAACTTGGTATGAAAAGCCATTGACTCGAACATGATATCTCTTGAGTCATGTGCTCACTTGAACAAGCTTGAATTTCAAGCTTGTGGTGTTTCAACGGCACCCATGTCACGGACACCCACAAAAACAATATTGTGTATAGAACGTTTTGCGGAAAAGACTTCACATGAGTTTTGATTTGCTAGATGTTGGAGCCTTGGTGTTCATTTATACATGCACATAGGTTGGAGCAGCTTTCGCAGCCCAGCACCTACTGCGACCTCCAAAGAAGAAGCCGAACCGTCTGGCTTAAGCAGCCTTGGAAGCTTTGTCAAGTGGTGAGTGATTGAGGAGCTTAGTGGACTTCCAAGTTGGATATGTTGGAACAGGCCAACAGGCAACAGGTGTGCAAGTTTCCACGGCACCGTTAAACAAAGACTGCCAAAACATTGCATACTGAAACAGACCGTCTTTCGGACGGGACTCGGCGCGAGCGGAGCGTGAGCGGAGCCGCGGCCCGTCGGATCGGACGTGTCTCCGACCCCCATGGAAGACCCAACATAATTCACAAATTATGACCTTGACCATGGAAATCAGATGAAATTATAGGGTGGTGAGTGTCGGCCGAACAAACAAATCCTGTACATGCTTCAATTCCCTCAGTTTTTGGTGACCACAAAAAGAGAACGTAGCTCAGTGACTCCAGCTTCACAACAACACGAAAACGCTGGTCAGTATATAGTCGCTTTCAAGCCTCAAGATCTGTGTTTGATGCCATGGCAGCATCAGTCTTGAGTGTGGTTTTCAATCTGAGAGCCGCTGACATGCCAATCCCAAAGGCGACGGTCAGCTCCACCAGACGTCACAACCTCACGACCCCTGCGCCTGCCACGAAACGCACATCCGGCACAGCGACATCCAACACCTCCAGGACCAATCCCACAGCGAAGGAAATCGAGTACGAAACGCTGCACCTGTGCAGAAAAATCCTCCATACTTGTACTTCCACATGTTACATTTCTACGCTATCTCACACGAGTCAGCCTTCCATCCCAACCGACAAAAACTTACCCAAATGGCACGACCTTATCGATCGCATTCGGTGGTCTGCGGACGGGCGGACGGTTGCGGACGGTTGCGGACGGTTGCGGACGGTTGGTGACGGTTGCGGACATGAAAGCAGCGCCGCTCTACCCTCAGACACCCAGAGTTAAACGAGAACCCTTCGCTCAATATACGAATTCGGAAAAACAGCTGGATCGTCTGAAGCAGTTCTGAATCACTGGTCCTTGATTATGCAATCCTTTCTCCTCTGCTCACCTTTCCCAATTATGTACATTTGCAACTATTTCAACATAAACCCTATGTTGTGAAATTTAGCACTGGTAGCCTGAAGGTACTTCATTTGTTTTGCCAGGACTGTTCCTCCACGCGTCTACTCCTCCCGATTGCAGCTTCTCGCTACACTGGTCTCTGAGGTGGGCTGCTACATTTGTTCGAGTAACTTGAAATGCCAGAAGTCAAAAGACGAACCCCACGCACACCTATGGCCTGTGGCCGTTTTGCACACCCCAAGGTGTAGCTTGCATACAAATGCCTCAATCCTGCAGTCACTTGAACTGTGCTAAGGGTGCTTTGTCTTTGCTTTACCTCTTGAGCCCTCTTCGCAGTTTGGTGTGCAGCCAAAGCAACCTTCGGGCCTTGCACTGGAACCAGCTGCGCAGCTCGCCATGGCGCGGAGATTTGTGATGCGTTTGACACCACTTGTCATACACTTCATTGTACTTCTTTTCCTGCACAAGTGAGAAAGTATGACATGAACCATGCGAGGGGAGAGAGAGCGAGCGAGAGAGAGAGAGAGAGAGGGAGAATGAGAGAGAGAGAGAGGGAGAATGCTACACATGTAGCCAGAGGTAGCAACAAGTGAACAGGAACAGAAGGTGCAACCCCGAGTTTTGAGTGGGACAGGAATGGTTCAGCAATCCGGCTGCTGAAGTTCGAGAGAGTGCTGTTAGACTGAGACCTGACTGCAATTAGCCAGCTGTGTAAGTGCAAACATGCTGATCCTGGAGAAAGCACATCCTTGAATCCTTGCAACATCCATCTATCTTGCTAATTAGTGCTGCAAGCAGTCCCTACAGATCGAGCGATTTTGGTTCAATTTAGTCACTACAACCAGAGTCAAGTGTATGCCTCCGAATCAAGGATTGCTGCATGTTGTGGCCCCAGCATTGAATTTGATTGATTTTTGATGAATTTGGCATGGAGCAAAGTTGAGCTGAATGCTCTTATATAAGACTCTTAAGGTTATGCGCATGTTGGTCTTGGCCGAATCGAGAAGCACAGCTCTTAGTGCAGCTGTAGCTAACAGTCTGGAGCGTTGGATGCAGATGATGCAGGAAGTGCTTGGGATGCTTGTTTCCAAAGGCCAAGAGTGAGAGCGGCTGAGGTATCTCTCCAATCTCCGACAGGCCAGTTTGGACGCCAGAATCGTGCATCCAAATTTGAATCCAGTTGTCTAGCCACTTGTTGACACCTGAGATTTCAATTTCACAGGCACAGAGGGAGGTCTTTGACGCGGAGTTCCAGCGAGTAAACGGACGAGCACGGACCCTAGGGCTGCTTCTAGCTGTTGCTTATGAAGGTTTTGCACCGTGAGTTCATTGGTTGATATTCTCTGGTACTAATTAAAGCTTGCGCAAACACTTCCAGATGGGAAGGCTCCCACTCCAACGCCCACACCATCCCTGCATACTCGCTCTGCTCCTGCGGCAGCTGCCCAAGGAGCCTAGCCCTAAAGCTACACCGTGTTTGGCAAACAAGATAATCTTCAAGCTTTGCATTTTTTGAGTTGTATGCTGTTGTATGCATCAGTCAACTATTTTGAAGCAGTGTTGTAGTCTTTCTTTGCAGGAGCAGATTTCGAGGAGGCCATTGACAACAAAGTCCACAAACCAAGAGCCAGCCTGTATTGAGTGTTTCGAATCAATCCTAGCGAACTGAAGCAAGTGAAGCCAAATCTGCACAAGCTAAAGTTATGAACAGAACGTCGCATGATCTCACTCTTCTTGCTGTCGAAATTCTGTTTGCACGGACAGGAATCAGAGGGCGAATTCCGTTGCGAATTTTGTGGTCGTGAGGACTTGGCAGGGGTGTGGGTACAGGTAGGACTGGTGAGTGTATTATCACAATGAACGGACGGCAGAACTTGAGAGGAAAGATTCTAGCATCCTGGGCAAGGATCTTCAACAAAGATACCTCAATCCTTGGCACCTGTGCTGGGCTCCGTGAGGATCCTAATTTCACCTTGGAAGCTCTGGATATCCACTACTGGCGGGAGTGTCCTATGCTTGCTGACTGCCCTCACTGCGAGCAGGTGCAGAACTGAGGCATGTGAATCCTTCAAGTGATTCAAGTGCATTTATGCTTGTGTGGCAGCACCAAGTATGCAACGTAGCGCGGATGCCGCAAGTGCGGCTACTTGTACACTTGAACACGCAAGCCAATGCACATGCAGAATGAATAATGGGTTCTGGCTGTGTGGAACTCTCCAGGTGATTGAGATCTCGAGACTGCACTGGCATTTTCTTGAGGACCCACCATGCTTGATTTTGACCACTGATCGATGGAACAGAAAGAAACCTTTGACTAAAACATGTAGTTGGCATATGACTTGGTGAACAGCGAAGGAATGTGAAAAGGGCGACGCCGCTGTGGCAGATGCGCATCGCCTTCATCCTGATAGGTGAGAGCAGAACCGGGCCTAAACACGAAAAGCAGGTCGACTCTGACATGATAGACTTGACAGACTTCAGACTTGACCATTTGCGGCTGAGCGTTGCTCCAGGTGTCCGCTGTGCCAAGGGCGTGTTTGCAGGAGTGGGGTGCCTGACGAGCATGACTGGCCAGGGTCCCCAGCCCACTACTGTCACCAGTAATGCCGTGGTTCGGTGTTCTTTATTTATCCGCCACTGACAGCTTGCAACAAGAACGAAATGGAATGCAAGCAGCTCTTGTTCTACCGGGTTCTACCGGAGTAACAACGCTTGCACTGTTGCACATTGTCCTCGCCTGAGGCAAGAACATCTCCTGGTGATTGGGTGCCCGGCAAACCCTCGTGGTAAAGGTTTCAGATGATCTCTAGCGGTCTGAGCAGGGAAGAGCAAAGAACAGAGCCTCTTGCACTTGTTAGTATCTCAGTATGCTACTGCAATGGTTTCAAGTCTGGGTGTCATCGCTTTGCACTCTCCCTCTTGCAGCTGTGGGTGCACAGATGATGCTTGCTGATTGCTCAGCAAAGTCTAAGCAACTGTCTGGAGCTTGCCAGGCAAATATATATATATAGCTCACAGCAGCCTTAAAGCTTCTTATGCGTTGCCAGTACAGAAGTGTTGCTATATGTTGCTATTACTTGGCAAACCGCATAGACTCCGACTCACAATCAGGGGCTCTTGATGGTGCATGCATGAGGAGATGGGGTCTTCTCAGTGCGGAAAAGTGACCCGTGTGCAATCCTCTTTTGGATATTGGCAGGCACAAGTCCTTGCAGATTGACAGCAGTCTTCAAGACCTAATACTTCACTGTGTAATGGCAGATGATGGCAGAGTTGTTCACACACACACAACACATTGCTCTAAACGAGGAGCAATTCCAAATTGGATCTCCAAAGCGCTCACAACAGATTGCAATCACTTTGTTTGACTCACCTCAAGTGCGGCAGGCAGCTGCTATTGAAACTGGGGAGGGGACATGGCCGCAACTTTAGCAAGGGTGCTTGTGGGAAGAGTGACAGGTGCAGGAGTTTGGTCCCTTACTGAGATACATAATTAGTTGCACCAAGGTCAAGTCCAATTTTTTCAGCGTGCAACCGCCTGTGGAGTCTCCCGTGCAAATTTGAAGTTGCATGGCAGTGCTTGCAGCGATGCAAAATTACCATTTTTGATAATCATTAATAATATTATTGCATTACAGTAGTTAGGTTAGAGGCCATCACTATTAGGTTGGAGGCCATCGCTACTAGGTTGGAGGCCTCGCTATTGGGTTGGAGGCCGTCGCTACCAGGTTGCGTGCCTTTGGCAACGTCGAGTTGTTGAGACCGGGGCATCGTGTAGCAAGATGAGCGCCAGGTATTCGCCTTGGAAAACATAGTACTATTGCAAAGTCCTTGCCGCTCGGCACATAGAAGGGTGTGATCAGCCTCAACAGAAACAGGGGTCCGGTCAGCATGTTCTGCCCAGGGTACGCTTTTTTGTGAACCCTTAGTCAACGGCTTTGCAGCTGAGCTTTGTCCCTCGCGAATGTCTAAATGGATTGCACTATGGTTGACAGCAGGTACTTTTGTATACTGCCCCACGGCCACAAAGACAGACTCAGGCCAGAGACAAAGTTCGTTGTTTTGCCACAGCTTTGTGAGTCATGTACCTGAGTTATGAGGTGTTGGTTTCTATTTGCACGGCCACCAGGCAAGGGTTACAAGGCTGGCTCCTCATGCCAGGCTTTTGTAACCACTACTTGTATATATATAATGCTACTTTACTTGTTGCAGCAAGCACAAAGCACACGCTGCGACACTTTTCTGGACCGCTTCACACATACACAGACACTTGTAGTCAAGTGCAAATTGGGAGGAGTGGCCGGTCCACGACTGGCCGCCAGAGTTGGCTGGCCACCCATGGGGGCCTTGGCCTCAGCTTCGGACAGGGTTTGATGGTGAATTTGTTGAGAGGGAGACGACGGGGCCAGCAGCCCATGCTTTCAAATTTGCACATGCTTCATGATGAGGGAGCCGCCAGAGCAAATCAACAAAGCACTGTCCCTATTGGCCGTTTAAGACATTACCGCAAGGTTCTCAACGTCACAATTGGGGGCACATCCTGATTCAACTACAGTCACCTCCATTGTCCATTGTGCTGGTTGTACTACATGTAGAACTACCGAGCTGGACGGGCTTTTCTTACCAGTCATCAATTTAGTCTGCTTTGACGTTTTGCCTGAACCTTAGTTCCTTCGGCCGTTCGGCTCGTCAGCTCCTGCGTGCTGTGCTATGGACTCTTCGAGGACCTGTAATAAGTGCAGGTCCGGGGCCCGGCAAGCAGGAGATTCCTGGTGCATTGGTTGCTCCTCCCTCGAGAGCATCGCTGCTGATCTCAAGCGAGGCTGGAACTCAGGTGCTCTGAGGGTCATTGCCGAAGACGCTTGTGTAGCGGCTGCCAGGGCGGTGAGAGCATTGCGGTTTGCTGGGAACCGGCTGGAGGATAACCTCCCCCGAGCCGAGAAATCCCCTGCAGCCGAAGAGGAGTGGTCTTTGGAGGAGGTTGAGGAGGAGCCGGCCGACGAGCGAGATCGAGGAGCAGCTCACTCGACTGCAGCCAAGTCCCGGGCCAAGAGGGCCAGATCTCCTGAGGTAGCTGTTCGGCCGAGGCCCAAAACTCCGCCGCGACCACCTCCAGGCCATCGTGAACGGGAGCGTGCCGAGCGACAGGAGCTTGAGCAGGCAGAGGACGAAGCGGCAAGGGTGAAGAAGAGAAAACATCGAGGAGGCACCAAACACCAGCAACACACCAGACAGCGAGACGACGGACATCAGCGGGTCACGCACCGCCCCTTGGGCCGTGAGCATTACGAGAGGAGGGCCCCTCCCAGGGCCAACGAGGAACGATGACAAGCGCCCATGGGGGCGAGGGTTCACCGTCTATGATGGCGGCCGAGGAACCCGACGACAGGAGCGGCAGGAAATTCGAGTTGAGGCTGAATTCCGAGGAGTTGTTCACGGAGGAGTTCAAAGAAGGAGACATTCTCGAGGTGCTCGACTTGGAGGGTGTTGCAGAGGACGGCATCCTTCGTGGCGTCTTTTGGGTGGAGGCCGTGGAGCTTGCAGATCGCTCTGGCGTTACCCTCCGCGTGGCGTGCTTGGGAGGAGATGGAAAGTCGGAAACGGCCTTGTTGGGAACCACCTTCAACAGGAAGAAGGTGAGACTTCATCTCTGTTCAGGGCGAGAGAAAGATGCTCCATGCACAGTCGGAGCAACTATGGCCCACGCCCAGACGTTTTACAAGTATCCGCTCACCGACTACCCGTTGAAGTATGTCAGCGAGGAGGTCGCAAAGGCCTACAAGAGACGCCGTCGAGAGTGGGGCCGCAAGAGAGGAAAAGGAGGCAGAGATTGTTCAGAGTCGCCCAGCAGAGGACGGCGGGGCGCTGGGGAGGAAAACCCCCCCGTGCGCCCCAGTGCATTGAGGAGGAAGAGGAAAGAGTCGGAGCCTCCCGTCGGCCAAGAGGCCGAACGAGCCGATCCCGAGAGTCATTGGCGCGCACCTGGCGGACAGGGAGACGAGGAGGCAGAGGAGCATGGCGAGCCGAAGGAGAGGACTTCGCGAGAGGGAGGTCACACCGCTCGCACCCGGCAGAGCTCCAATGCAGCCCTCAGTCATGCGCTGGGAAACCTGAGGAGACGGCTTGGCATCGAGAAGGCCCCAGAGCAGCGAGATGGAGTTGGCAATGGCGGCGAGCGCTCAGGCGACTTCAATGCTGCACAGGGCGCCCTGGGCAGGGCGAAAACCAGAGCAAGCCGGGAGCCCATCCCAGTGGAGCCGATCGAGGACGAAGGGGAGGCTACAAAAGGCACTACTATGAGCTCTTTGAAGAAGGTTCAGACGGAGAAGAAGGACCGGCCCCCGCGAGGGGTTTTGTCGGAGCTGGTCAACAAAGCGGCGAAGAGGCCCAAGGAGAAGAAGGAAGAGAGGAAAGAAAGCAAATCGACGAAGACGGCTATGGCCCTGGTCCAAACCCTTGCCCGGGGGCTTGGGGTCAAGAAGCTACCCAAGAAGGCATCGGGAGAGTGGAGGAAGAGGAAGAAGAGCAGAGGAGGTGCCGAGGAGGATCCAGAGGAGTCAAGCGAGGGCAAGCGCAGCAAGAGCTCTCTGACCAAGAGCTCGGAGAGTGGCTCAGAGAACACCTCCGGGGAGGACATCGAGAAAGTGGAGATGGAGAAGGCGACACCCCCGCTGGAACGGATGAGCCAAAAGAAAAAAGGGCTCGGTGCTGAGGCTGTTTGTGCAGCATATGCGCGAATCGCTGCAGAATCTAGACGAAGGAGAGATGGTCGAGCCCGAGTCAGTGGTAGGAGGAGTCTCAGCCATAAAGTATTGGCACTTGATCGTGAAGCCCCAGATGACAGGGAGGATGAAAGAAGCACGGGAGGTTTACTGCCTCCTGCAGGCACTAGATCTCCTGCGGGGCGGACATCTGGATCAGATGGGCGACCTGCTGGCGGCTCGGATCATGGCCATCCATCAGTCGGTCTCGGACGGAGGCAGCTGGAGAGCCGCCAAGCATTTGGAGATAAAGCCCTTGGAGACGACCTCAGCCTCGAAGACAAGCGTGGTGCTGCAGGCTCGCAAGTTCGCCAAGATAGCCGACCGTGCGCAGGGCATACAACCCATGCGCTGGTCGCCTTATGGCAAAGGTGGAAGAGCGTGGCGCGACGAGGAGTATGGTGGCGCCGATGGGCGAGGAAAAGGAAAGCGCAAGAAGGGCAAAGGAAAAGGCAAGGCCAAAGGAGGAGCCAAGGACTGGCGGGAGAGTCAGGAGCCCCCGCCGGGAAAGGCAGAGAGTTGAAGCGAGGCTGCGTTCGATCGGTGTTGGAGGCAGCCACGGATATGAAGGCCCTCGGAGAGGGGCTAGCATGGTTGACAGTACAGTGCATGGATCTTTCAAGAGGACAGGAGCTGAGGACCTTGTTGGGACTTGGAGCCGTGAAGTGGCGGGCCGAGAGTGGTCGTAAGCATCCCTCTCGTTCGCTCATCCCCATCCCTGCGATGCAGTTCGCTGGATTGGTGACACGTTTGAAGCATCAGTCGTTGTCGGACTTCGTAGCAGGTCTTTCTCCGCATCTTGAGCGCAGGGTGGATTTGAAGCCCGAAGCGCGGTCGAGCCTTGAGGACGAAGAGAGAGGCGAGGAGGCATGGCTGCTCTGCACTTCCGCTGGCTGCAACTTGATGGCCGGCCACCGAGAGCTGCTTACGGCCGGCGAGACAACCGCTTTGCAGCGTAGTGCCATCGAGCAGTTGAGGCCGACGCTCAAGCGAAGTCTTGAACCGCGCCAGGACCTTCGTTGGCTTGAAAATGATTGCAAGCTTGAGCTGAGGAGAACCCAGGTTAGTTACACCGGGGAAGAGGTTGAGGTAGCACAGAGGTTGACTCTCCCCCAAATGGAACCTGCTCTTCCCCCTTTTGGCTTCGGAGGTAAGATTGACATTTTGGAGTATCTTTCTGAGGGAAGTGCATCTTGGTTGAGGTCCCCTGAGCGTTTGAAGAGGAACTCTGACCTTTTTGGGGGTTACAAGTTTGAGGCGAAACTGCACATGTTGGACACTGACAAGCTGTCGATCGCCCACACCTTGGTGAGTAGGGGCGTTTGCGACTGGATCCCCATCTCTGAGGTGTTCGAGTTTCAGGGGAAGAGATTATTTAACGGTATGTTCGGAGTTAAGAAGGAAGCACACTTGGACTCTGGACTCCCGATCTTGCGCACCATTATGAATCTCACCCCTTGCAATAGGCTGTTTTTCCCATTGGAAGCAGGACATGGTGCTCTACCAGATATCCACAGTTGGTCAACCATAGTAATGTCAGGCTCGGAGGCGCTTGAAACGTCCCAGTCCGACATGACTGCAGCATTTTACCTATTCGCAATCCCACGGTGTTGGTGGGGGTACCTGAGCTTCAACATTCGTTGTGACGGGACAGAACTCCCAGGGAGGACCGGCGGGGAGCACTGCCTTTGTTGCAAAGTGCTCCCAATGGGCTGGCACTCCTCGGTGTCCCTCATGCAAGAGGCGTCGTCGAGGATCATGAAAAGGGCCAACCTACCTCGAGAACATCAGATTTCCCGAAACTCAACGGTCCCGGGCTGGATGGTTGGTCTTAGTGGTTTCGTCGAACCCGGTCACCGAGACTGGTGGCAGCTTTATCTCGATAACTTCGCTTCAGCTCGCCTACGGGACCACTATGAGGAGACCGAAGCAAATCCTGATGCTTGGCAACGGTGGCATGAAGCGGCGGAGCAAGTGTGGGGGCGCATAGGGATTGTGAGCTCTGAAAAGAAGAGGGTCCAGAATGCAACCCAAGCAACTGAACTTGGGGCTTTCATTGATGGGCATAATAAGATGGTTGGAGGTTCCCCCCTGCGTCTCCTGAAGACCGCCAAGCTGATCCTCTTCTTGCTTTGTTCGGAGTTCTCGGTTAAGGACCTCCAGACTGTTGTAGGGCGTGTCTTGTTTTTGATGTCCTTTCGCCGTCCGTCGATGTCCGTGTTCACTCACGTTTGGAAGTACATCGCGAAGCCGGCCCTCCGTCGCACACTGCTGCCGGTAGTGAGAAGAGAACTTTACAATGCTTTGTTGCTTCTCCCGTTGTTCAAACAAGACCTTACGGCGGAAGTCGCTGACGTGGTCACCTGTTCGGACGCTTCACAGACTGGCGGAGCCACAGCTATCGCCCGTGAGTTGACCTTGGAAGGGAGAGAGTTTTTGAGACAAAGTGTACAACCACACTCAACCCCGAGAAGGGAGCGGATTCTGGTAATCTCCCTGTTCAACGGTATAGGAGGGGCCTTTAGGGCGTATGATTTGCTGGGCATAATGGTTGAAGGCGCCGTCTACTCAGAGATCAGCAAAGAAGCATGCCGGGTCACAGACAGGCGCTGGCCGAACGCCAGCAACCTCGGAGACATCCGGTCAATCACAAGGGAAACTTTGGTGACCCTCGCGATCCGGTTCGCGGGGTGCTCGCGGGTGGACATCTGGAGTGGTTTCCCCTGTGTTGATCTTAGTGCAGTTAATTGTTACCGTGCCAACCTGCAAGGTTCACAATCTTCTTTGTTATTTGAGGCTCTCCGTGTGGAAAGGTTGATCCGAGACGTGTTTCCCCCTTGCGTGAAGATAAACTACATCTATGAGAACGTCTCCTCCATGGACGTGGAAGCTAGGAACCAGATAAGTATTTTGGTAGGCGGAAAACCTTGGAAAGTGGACCCCCGTGACGTGCTGCCAATCTCGCGGCCCAGGTTCGCGTGGGTCAGCTTCCCGCCGAAACCTCTCGAGGGCCTGCAGTTCGTGGAAAGGGACGGCTTCACGGAGCTACAGATGACTGGCCAAGGTGTCGAGGCAGCGCAATGGATCAGGCCCGGCTGGCGGCGGGGAGGAGGGGCAGACGCAGGCCCGTTTCCCTGCTTTATGAAAGCAATCCCCCGCCGTGTGCCGCCGCCGCGTCCCGTTGGATTGGCCCGTTGTGACGAAGGAACCCGAGGTCGTTGGCACGCGGATCAGTTTAAGTTCCCGCCATACCAATATAAAGAAGAACATACTTTGTGGAAAGCCAGTCGTTGGAGAACCCTGGAATCCATTGAGAGAGAGCTCATCATGGGCTTCGGTTTTGAACACACGGGTCCCTGCTGGGGGGCCACTGCAATCAAATCAGATTTGGGGAGCTATGAGAATGCCAGGCTCTCATTGATCGGAGATAGTTTTTGCACGCTCTCGTTTGCGGCGGTTTTAGCGTGTTCCTTTGATTGGTCACCAGGAGAGTTCTCCGTCGATCGCCTGATCCGTCGGTTAGGAATGGCTCCCGGGGTTTGTTTGGGATGGCCTACACTGGCGCCCATTGCCAGGCGTTTAGTTTTTGGCCCTCCAGAGGGGCCTCTCCCTGACAAAGAATCTCTGGTTGAGCTCAACCGGGTATTCTTGCAACGTACCAACCACACGACTTCGGACGTTCGGATCATTACTGGTCAGTTGATGAACCCTAAACAGGCCCTCCGACAATCCATACCCAGTTGTCTTTGGGAATGGCGCTTCCAATTCCAGAACAAGTGGGGCGTCCACGAGCACATAAACGCATTAGAGCTGCGGCAAGCATTTAACACGATGTGTTGGTTGATCAGGGACCGTGTGCATTTTAACCTGCGGTGGGTTCATTGCAGTGACTCCTACGTCACTATTGCCATACTAAGCAAGGGTCGGACCTCATCGTTGAAGCTCGAGGCGTTAGTTCATCGGTTCAATGCTCACCTTTTACTGGCTCAAATCTATCCAGTTCTCCTCCATGTGGCTTCATTAGATAACCCTACTGATGAAGCATCCCGCAAGTTCTCGTGAGGCCACTCGCTGGCGCGCCCAACGTCGGCGCCGCCGCGCGGGGATTTCCCTCCGGGATGCAGGGATCACTGAAAAGACTCGAACTCGATACTATGCCGGTCTGCAGGCTGTGCTGTTCATTTTGAATCAGGCCTTAAGCTGGTATGATCTGGACATGCGCTTGGCTGACTGGATTGAGGCACAATGGTCAAATGGTGCACCCCTTGGCCACATCTCCGACACACTGTGTGGACTTTCTCATTACGTTCCACAAGCCAAACACCAAACACCAGAATCCTGGTCACTCTTCAAGGTGTGGCGGAAGGTTGAACGGCCCAGCCGGGCACCACCTTTCCCTCCTCTGGCCATTTGGGGCCTGATCGGTTTCAGCCTGCGCTCTAATGAGCCCCGAATGGCCGCCATACTGGCGCTGGGGTTTCATGCGTGTCTACGCACGGGGGAGGTCCTTGGTGTCTCTCCTCGGGATTTCTTGTTGAAACCCACTCATGGTTTACTTCGACTCACTGACACCAAAAGTTCCAAGAATGCCGATGAATTCATCCGCCTCGATGACGAGCGTGTCTTGATGATCCTGCATTTGATCCAGGATTGGATCCCAGAAAAGGACTGGCACAAGCCCATCTGGAACCATTCACCGCAGGCTTTCAGGACTAGGCTGGCCCAACTCTTGGCGCACTTCCAGCTCCAGACCCATGGCTTCCGGGGCTATTCGCTCCGTCGCGGAGGTGCGACCCACCATTTTGACGAAGGTGGCATGCAGCTTAGAGAAAACGTTGCTCTTCGGAAGATGGCAGTCAAGCCGGGTGGCCCGTATATATCTTTGCGACGGGCTGGCGCGACTCTCCCAAATGCGGCTCAGTGAAACTCAGCGTGCTCGACTTACAAAGTTTGCCTCCTTCCACTTCTGAGAGGCTGGGAGTCTTGACCTTGTTTCAACCGTTGGTCGAGTGCGTTCCGCAGGGGTCGTGGAAAGCCACGTTGGACAGGAATTCTTTTTGGAATTCAGCAGAACGGGTGCGAGATGCCATGTCTCGACATAAGGATGACTTGGGATGCCACGTCCCGTTTGAACATAAGTCTTCCTTGCACCTGGGAATGTTCAGAACAGTTGA